TTTTTCTAAGGTACATAAACTTTTCGGATTGACTGTATATCCAATACATCCTTAAAAATAAGTAACGATTCTAAATACCGACCTATAGTGATTCCATTTATTTAAACAAACAAATTCAATTAACTAGAATAAACAATCAGGGAACAAACCGATCATGGCAAAAATATCAGAGTTATAAGACGGTCCTTCAAGTCGATGCTCTTTAGGCTTATTCTTCATCCCGAAGACGAAACTAACAGCAAGACCAAAGTATGCTCCGAAGGCATGCACGAACATACTATCGCCCGCGTCCACCGCCTAGAAAGAGCAACAAAAAATACTCAGCTAAATAAAACAGCGAACATCCCATATTCATTATATATCGGTATATTAATATTGGATTCCAATATCGTATAGAAAAATTCCTATTGCTTGTCAATAGCGAATTGGAACATTAATATTGAATAGAAACGGCGGAAAAAGGAACGTCGCAGACTAATTGCTTGCAGGCGTGATGCATGTGAAGTGTGCGAATACGCTCGTCGAATTACCTGAAGCAGATGCTCGCCCACGTACTTGTTCACGGTGAACACGATCAGCTCGACGATGCCCATGAACACGAGCTGCATGTAGGTCGTCTTACCCAGAAGAGCTCCCATGGATATCAACGGGGTGGCCACCGCAACGTCCGCGCTCAGCAGGCTGAAAGTGGCCACGTGGCGTGGGTTTGATCGATACAAGTGTTATTAAGCGGCCGGCGTGGCTGCCACGGACCGAATACCCGCGGATCAGTATTCATAACGTGGACCCGCTATACTATGCAAACAGGCCGGATCACGGAACCGGAACACGGACGTGATATCCAACTATTCTTCCGCGTTTTAGAGTGCATCGGACCGAGGCAACACGCGGCTCATCGTTTTATCAACTCGTGGATTCATAAGTCATCGAGAGTACGACGATATCGGAACGTCCTTCCAATTTCGATTCGCAGACAGCATTTAGAAATTTCTGATAGTAACTACGATTTTCAGTTATGTCAGCCTCTCGGTTGCTAGCCCCCTCGATGGAAACCCGAAACTTCGAAACGAATCGATGTTCTTCAAGGTTCGACTTGGAACGTGTACTTCCAAGCTGGGAATTGTCGAACATCTCGAAAGTTTTGATAGTCTCGATCGTCTCCGAGGAGTCGGTCACCTCGAGTACTCGAGACAGGAAAATTAGAGGTATCCACAAGACGGAGCGTCCGAAGTTTATAAAAAATGTACACGGCGAATCGCGAAACATAGTACTCTTTTATTTTTTACTGACTCGATTTTACGTCGTCACATAATTTTTCTAATCCAAAATAGGAAATGAAACGCTGCCCTGTCCCGATGTTCATTAAGGATGTATTGGCTATACAGTCAATCCCAAAAATTTATGTACGTGTTAGAAAAACGCATTTCCTATAATTAAAAAGAAATCAGACGTCGGAAGAATAATGCTAATAATAAATAGCTACGTGCTAAAAAGTATAGAAGGAAATATCCAATTA